AGCCCACAGAGGAGCAGGGGGATGCCCAAAGGAGGCTGTTACTCTGGGGGAGGCCCAGCCTGGAGCAGGGTCCTGGCAGGGATGTGCAGTGCCATGGAGAGAGGAGCCCACTCTGGAGCAGGTTTTCCTGGAAGGACTTGTGGCCCTGTGGGGGACCCATGCTGGAGCAGCCCATTCCTGAAGGATTGAGCCCATGCAAGGGACCCACACTGGATCGATTCCTTAAGGACTGCTCCTGTGGAAGGACTCCTGCAGCAGAAGTTCCCGGGGAACTGTCTGCCACAGGAGGAAGCCCACGCTGGAGCAGGGAAAGGACTCTTGGCCCTGAGCAGTGGCAGAAATGGTGTGCAATGAAGTGCCCATGAAAGCCATTCCCCTTTCCCAAGGGTATTTAGCTGTATTTTATTTATTATTTATTTCTTGTGCCTTTCAAACCCCAGGTACAACAGACTAGCACGATAAAACTTGTTTTCTGTTGCAAACAGATTAAAAACTTTGTTTGGGATAAAAAAAATAGTTTTTTACTCAGTTTGGGATAAAGGATTAAACCCTGTGTGTTTAGTGTCACCTCTCACATAACTGGTCCCAATATCTCCACAGGTGATTTTTGCCCTAGTGCAGCCATGGGGTGATTTGGATACACCTGACCACAGGAATTCTGGCTCATTTCTTAATGCATTTGGAACTCTACATTATTTAGCAGCAATTTATTGATTCTTTCTTTGTTTATCCTTATTTAAATAAATAAAGTACTATTACTAAGAGTACTACTAAAATAAATCAAATAAATTGAAAATAAAGATAAATGAAAATATAGCAATCAAATATTATACCAATTATAATTTTAAAATATTTATAATATATTATACATTTTTATTTTAATAGATAATAGAAATATCAACAATAATAATACAAAATACTGCCTTGTATCCCTTAAAATCTAGGCCACTGTTGCAATGCAGTTCCCCAGGAAATTACAAAGAAAGGAAAGACAGAATACTGCTCAAATTACTTCAGAATTTGTGTCTTTTCTATTTACACTTGTAAGGCGTCAGAAGAGAGTGTACAGATGTCATTTTTTAGCTACTCTAGATAGTTATGCAGTACCACTCAGGTACCACTTAGGGAGCTGTGAGGAGGGACTGCTCAGCTCCCAACTCTCCCAGTAGGAGAGTTCCCAGTTGCTGGTGGGAGGGCAGGTGTGTGCGTTCTCTCCAAAGGCAAACTGAACCTGCCCCTTGAACCCGGCTCACCAAGAACTGGCATCCAAACACATTTGCCCCAGGACTGTGGAGCCTGTCCGGCAAAGCCTGCACAGAC